GGGGGGGGTGGTATAATTACCTTGTCACTCACTATGTAGTTCTAGGGTATTAATGCGCTGGCGGAGTGCCGCCATGCTCCGGTGTATTTGCCAGCGACAATTAGGACTCGGAGAGTCCTTGTCGTCACCGGTTCGGGACGTGCGATAGTTATTACCTCACAGATGACGCAAGATTAGAATTGTCTTTGTATGTGGCAGTATCCCCACATTTACGCGTTTCATTTTGTGCATAATGATGACGCGCAAAGTAAGAATGGCAATTACTATTTGGTTTACTGTGGGGAGAGGTGGTTGGTAATAAACACAAAGAGACTAAATTCATACAGTGATTTTAAATCTGTGTGTTTGTATACAAGTATGTGGGTTATATGCTGAACTTTAGGAAAATAAGACGGAAAACCTGTGCGCGTTATTTTACCACTTCCTTTTTGCATTTTCGAATTTACTTGAACTATTTTGATAATACGTTAGCTGAAAGGCTAATGAAATCACACCGAACAGCAAATGTTGCAGATTTCGGTTTATGTGATCTTTGAAAGCGTAAAAATCTTCTGACTCATATGTTCACTCCGTTCATTCTGTGATCAAATAACATTTTTACCCATGGCCAAACTTTGTAAAATGTAAAATGGATTTTGTAAAGGATTATGAGTTGGAAAAATCAGCCACTACACTGGTGGAGAAGAACACGCAGGCGCGTATACACAGGCTGTGCTGATAGGCGTTCTTGGGCACAAGACCTTGCCCCCATGTTTTTCTGTTTTTGATGCCGGATGCATGTGTGTGAAACAGCTTTGTAGATGAAAACAAGGTTCGCCAACCAATTCTTTAGAGGTATCGGTTTTACGCCGGGTCTTGGGCCACACGCCACACACACACACACACACACACACACACACACACACACACACACACAAGGAAATGCTGGTAAATTAACCCAAACCTGCCAGACCCCAAACTAATTCTTTTACTCTGACCAAAGTGTTACCAACTTTCACAGGTGCAGGCACTGGAGCGAATATTGGTGAAATTGTTGACACAAAAACAGACGCTTAAAAATGCAACATCAGTCATGTATTCTAATACGAGCTAAGCGTTCATCAAATGACACGAAAGCACCCTTGATGAAAATATAACTTTAGATTCAACCAAACCAAAACATGATAGCTTTACTTAAGCTAGCAAGCCTCTATCAGTCTTGAAGTTAAACGGATACCCAAATAAATTCTCGTAAAGAATTGAGTTATGGTACGGGTCTTTGACAGAACAGAATTATTGCATATTTTAAGGAAATGTTAACGAAGGTAGATGACACAAACATGATTTATTCTATCAGAACATAAGATTCACACAAAATACAACGTGAACTAATCGATTTAACACGCTATAGCATATAGCCATAGTTTATCCTCTAAAATGAACAGGGTTGTACTTTTGTTTTATTTGTGACACGGATAATCGTAGTTTAAACCCTTAGTTGGTGAACACCAGTACAATTTTATCAAGAAATATACAAGCTGGTCGTGTTGTGAGTAAACTAGGAGAAGAGTGGTAACTGTAGCTATAGCTCTTTTCCGACCCTCCAAATCTAGCTCTTCTTCTGTCTAGAGTGGGACTGAAGCTGTCACACGAGCCATCCTCTGCCCCGTGCACGCACTCACCCTGTTGCTTTGAGCTATCGTGTAAATTGTTTGATATGTTATGTTAGAACTGAAGCTCAAATTTTGATACACATCAAGTCCAAGCTTGTTTCTATCAGTTCTTCTTTTTTGAGAGGTCAGTGTCCACTGGTTTACATCGCCATGGCGTCAGTTAAAACAGCGACGCCATAATAACTCCATAAAATGAACAGATTTCTGCATTGAAGACGGTGACAACATGAGGAAGATGATTCCCAGGCACAAGAGAAAATGCTGTCTGCAAAAAAAATTCATATCTGTTTAGAGTTATTATTACGCTTAATGCCACATGTCACATTAAGAAACCTTAATTTGGAATAAAGCAGAACAAGGCCAAAATACGCTGTTTATGTTCTGACAAAATGTAATCTGTTCACAGAAGGATTTTTTATGCTGTAGTTTGATTTTTTTTTTAAGCAGTTATTTTGTCTGTTTTTTTAATCTAATAAAACCTCTCAAAGGAAGTATCCTCCACTCTTTTTTACAAAGTGTTTTGCAGTGGAAGTAAACCTGAACTAAACCTATTCTTACAATATTTATACATACAAGGCTCCTTCAAGTACGAGCCTATTTCTCCTACCTACCACCACCACAGAGTTAATCCTGTGGCCTCTGTGCTGCTCTAATAAGAGAGGAGAATTCCACTTTTCGGAAGTCCCTCTCTCCGCTCAAACTCTCATTTATTATGTTCACTTTACATGTGAAGTAAGTCCGGCTGGCTGGTTGGCCCGATGTATTTTCAGTCTGGGGATTCCTGGCGCTGCCCTCCGCCATCGCAATGATTTTTCATGAGCTTCACAAGAATGCTATTTAAAGTCATGTTTGGGATGCCATAAATTATTGAGGCACCGGTTGAAGGAGGAAGACAGGGATAGGGGAGTGAAGCAAGAAGGCTCTTTCCCTCACTGTAAACGTTTATCTGATAAAACAAATGAATTCCTTTTTAAATTAAAAAAATATAGTTGATTAATTACCTTAAAATAATAGAATGTTTCCCAAAATCGCAATGGTTTTTATTTCAAGCCATTTTTACTTTGTGGCGCAGTTAAGCACAGTCGAACGTAATTCCAAAAACAGAGAAATAAGGAAGATTTTTTATTTTTAAAAGAATTTTATTTAAATGTAATGTAATGTAATTTAATGTAGGCCCATTTTATTTGGTTTCATTTATTATTATTATTATTATTATTATTATTATTATTATTATTATTATTATTATTATTATGTTGCTCCTTTTTCCGTCGGTTTATAAATACATACACACGAGCGTTTCGGGAACGGCCTAGGTCCTTGAGGAAGTTTCAGTTCGGTAAACAGGAAGGCAAAAAAAACCCCTCCCTATTTCATTTTTCATCAATTTCCTCCTTTTAGTGATGATGCAGGAACACCTCCCTTTAGCACCAAGAGCCTACACTCTCCCTATAGCTCCATAACCTGTACACACGCAGGGACAGGACATGACACGCGTGACACAAAGTAGTTCCTTTTCTTGTCCGGGTAAGCGAGAGAGGCTATGACATGGGAAGGCGCAGCAATGGCTTTGTATGGGCTCCTTTGTTTTTGGTGTGTGTGTGTGTGTTTCCCGTTTATGTACACAGGGCAGCTCCAGTGTACAGACGCGCTTCTTTTCAGTATTATGTGTAATATGTGTATTATGTGTAGAGACTTGCTGCTCCTTTGAACCTGTCCAAACTGTCAAAAGGCGC